AGCCAGACCTCTGTGGAATTGCTCTTGAAAAGGAAAATATCTTTAATGCAAAGAAAAAGCCCATTCCAACTCTAGGGTATAAAATGTGACTATAGTGGAACAGCCAGGAGTCTCCAATTAGCAACAGCTTTCTTCAAGTTAAAAACCCCTAAATCCACAGCAGGTGAACAGATTGCAAACCCTTTCCAAACAGGCAAAGCCACTGAATATGTGAATTAGTTTACACTGTGTCACATACAGAATGAGGACCGGAGATCACAAAGCTCACCCATCAAAGGCATTGGCAAGGTTTCTGCTATATATAATCCAAGAGCCAAAGGTAGCTGAAGAGATACTGAAATATATTATATACAAGAGATCCTTTGCAAGAGTGGGAGAGCGTTTATGTTAGACAACAATATTGGGGATGAGTGGCGATAAGAGGGGAGAAGGCTAACAGCCCTGCATTAAAGTCTGGAAGCCATTGAGAATGAAACAGGGAAAGAATACAGAAGCTACACATCTGCTGTCAGACATACTGAAGGCAAGGGCTGAGAACTGGCTCATGGTGTTATGTGGCCTCAGCGACAGCAACACTTCATGGACCCATGAATGTTGAAATTGTTGTTGAATGTTGGAGACCCACCGATAGCAGCTTAGATCACTCAGCCGTCATATTGTGCAACTCCTTAAATTAACGCACAAGTCAAACACGGTGTCCACTGCACTTTGTTTATTGATCGTCTTTCTTAATAATCTCACAGGGAGGAAAAAGATCCCTTGGCTCCCCTATGTCTCCTAGAGGAGAATTAGGGGAAGCTTCCTGTGTGTTTCCTTCTTTGTTCTGTTCTGCCTCATGGGCCCTCTAGGTGTGAATGAGAGGTGATGAGTTTAACAGTGCTGCCTGTTTAAAATTTTTATTTGCTTTTACATGAATCTCTTTAAAAGACAGATTTGTAGGGGACAAGTGACACTGCTTTAACAGGTGGCTGGAGAATTTTTATTGACACTCATAAATTTAGTTCTATGTGAAAATTATCTTTGCACCTCAGATAATTTTCACTGAGGTCCCCTAATTGTTTACCGTGGGCAGCACGTCCTCCAGTGAAGACATCAGAGTTCCTGTGTCTTTTTAACAGCAAAGCAAGTCAATTATTTTAGTACTGGTATTGATGCAAGAATTTTGGGTGTACAGAAATACAGAACTTTGAAAATCCTTTCGTATACATAATGCATTTGTTTGGCAATGCATATCAAACAAAGAAAAACAAAATATATATCCCCATGATCATATTTTAAAAAAAAGGCTGTGAAATATAACCATCAGCTGTTGCGGGGAAGTTCCTCCAGGTCTTACAGTGGTTGCTCTGCAGTTCTTTTTAATGTTTGTCAATTTTATTTGTTTTTCTATTTAATTTTGTTTATGGCAAAGGGTTGTTAACATTCTCAATTTTTGTGAAAAAGTGTCTTTGATAATAGCAAACTCTGCATTTAATTTGGAATTTATAGGCTATTCTTGGTTGAAATCTAGTCCATGTGCGCTTTATGCTGATCTTTAGATACCGCTTTAAACAGCATACAGGTATGCGTTTACAAGAAGCTAATTCAGCAAGCAGACAGAAGTCACAGCCACATGGCAAAATTATTAGGTTTAAAATGTGTCAATTACAGTTCATGCACGACAATTTGTGGGGCGGTGTATAACACAACAGAGATACCACAAACACAGATATATACAAGTATAGTGTCATACTAAGAAGATCTCCAGTATGATTAACTGACAAACACACACAGAAAAATACTCAGGACTGTCTCAAATCTAAAAGGAGGTAGAAGACTAAAACACAGAAAATCCTGCAAGCATGTGTCTTTAAAAGGTTCCCCGATCAGCACACAGACACATACAGCACACCGTAAAAAGATACTGTATGCAAACTGTATGAGCATGTAAAGAAGCATGAGCAGTAATCCACAGGCCGAAAGAAACACAAAAGTAGACTCATAACAAGCAAAATAAATCACACGTCTGACTCTGATTCAAACATTGACAGAAAGCTGTAAATGCAAAATGCTGAACACATTTGAACACAACTCTAACCTGAAGAAATTGACATACACAGATCTGGACTGCAACACAGCTCAGAGGCATGTAGTCAAACAGCTCCACGCCACCAGACACTTGCAGCTTGGAAGAAAGACATGCCGATACACACACTGGCTTAGCTGTAAATAGAGTGGGTTCAGGCTGTTGTGAATCAGTGAGCCTGCAGACAGATACCGATTCTGGTCTTTTGGAGACAACCCAGCACAGGGCATCCATTCTTTCTGGGTTCACAAACGTGTTTTGCTGCATGTTTTTCTCCATTTCCTTGTGCTTTTAACAAGGGTTATTATTTGCACCTCAACAACCTCTGTGTGTACGGTATTACTGTTGTACTCCATGTGTCTGTCAGCACAATGATATAAGCTCTAAGAGAGACAATAGCAAGCAAACATTCTCCTTCTTTCGCCACAAGAGGTTAGACAAATATTTTAGCTCGTGAAAAAATATTTTTTTTTAAAAATGAGAATTCTGTGTGACAAGTGAAAGTGATTTTGATTGGAGCCTGGAGTTCTAGGAGAAATATCATTAGAAGATAATCTCCTAATAAATTGAGAGGCCAGCTTAATCTCAAAAGTATTAAAAGCATCGACATCTGTGCATTTGTTAGAACGTTAATGAAAAAAACAACCCAGTACTGCAAAAAATAAAGTATTAGAAAACACAGTATGTGTGGGGCACTTCAAAAGATGAATCCAGAGACAGTCAGAGTTAGCTCTCAAGAGCTGCCAGATTTTTAGTTCTCAGAAGCAGAACAGCATCCACTAAACAAAGAAATTAGATGTGCAGGTGAAAAAAAAGATGCAGCCTGTGACAGCTGATTTGTATTACGATGTATACACTGACAGATGTCATTCTGCCCAGCATCTGCTATAGTCCTGATGGTAAGCATACTGCTGTTTGATACATTTTGAGTTAAAGTACAAAAAATCTCACATATAGGATTCCAGAACCTAATAGCATTCTCGTGTACCTCATGTGGAAAGGGTCAATCTTTCCCCTGCAGAGCAACAATCATAAATTTAGTGTGAAAGAGTCTGATTAATATTCATGAAGATCACAGTGGTTAAGCACGATCAAAGCACACTTGAAAATCAGGCCTCTAGCCAGAGCATAAATATTTTTAAAAAATTATAGAAAATAAAATGTTATGTCCATTTGGATAACAATATACAACTGGCAATGTGTCACTGGACACTTCTATAGTATATAAAACACAGGAGACATTCTGATAAACAGTTACATATCACCAAGTCCTTATTTTGTTCATTCTAATGTCACAGAAATAAATGCAGAAAATCAAAGTCGTATTTATATTAGAAGGTTTGGGTGGCAACAAAGGAAGTGATAACTATCAGGTCAAGGAGTTTAGATAATAATATATTAATGACAGGCATTAAAGCATCTTTTTCATTTTCTTCCATGGGCTAAATTTAAATTTAACAGTACTTAATTTTTTTACTTTCAATACCCAAAAGAACAATAAGAATGTGACAGTCTGGATAGGAAACACACAAAATATTTTATTGCCAAAATGTGGCTATTACTGTCACTCAGGCTCGAAGGCTTGCAAGATGCACAGACATACTAGTTCACCCCTACAGTAAGAATTCCTATGTCACATTATCGATCTGTGAGGGTTTCCATTTTTCACTTGTAGTGCTCTGTCCTGCAGTGAAGTGCTATGCTGAAGACTGTAGCCATGAAAGACTACAGAAGGCTCGATATACTTAGCTATACAGTTACAAAGTATGAACCCAAATCATGTTCGTTACTGGAAATTAAGCTAGCCGAATAAATCTTATTGTTGACCACCTATCCATAGCTTTAATGTAGTCTGTGGTACTAAACAAGTATTTAGCAAAATGTAAATGGTTAGATGTCTTCCTTTGATCAAATATAGATCAAAGCCTAGCTGCCAGCGATGACTCAATGATGGGACTGTATCATACAAATAGCTGCAAGCAAAAACTAGCAGGAAACCAACAGGCAGCCTACACTGGCTGGACTCACTGATGACCAGGCTGCACTGACCAGCTTGCAGTATGCAGGCAGAATTATGTGCAGCTCTGCTAATGTTAGCCATGCTCAGAAAGCACAGCCCTGTGTGCTACTCCTGAAGCATATGTCAGTCAATAGAAGGAAGAGGAGGAAGCCAGTACTGCATGCAGTTCCAGACAGCCTCATCGTATATCCAGAATTTCACCAGCTCATGCAGGCATGTGTAAATGCCCACTACACATGCAGGTACCCAATCACAGATGTACAGGCAAGCCGACATTCATCTATGAACCGAACACCAAAAAAAGCTCCTATTTACACAAATCTGTACACAGAGACTTTCCCACATGTATATTCCTGGACAAATGTCTGCTTACCCTTCACAGAGGTTGAAAGCAGAATGGACACTTGGTAAATGATAGTGATAGTGAAAAGTGCAGTGAATGGAAAATCAGGTTAATCCACTGAAAACCTAGCAAAAGTGATTTACTTGAATATCCCTATTTCTGTCGGTACAAACACACCTTTATGTACACAAATCTACCAGTGTTGACATTTGCACAAACTTAAACATACACAATGCAGCTGTAAAAACTAATGGGATTACAACAAGTAATTTCAAACTTTTTTTTTTTTTACTGTTGTTTGCAGATTAGGCACAGGACTCCATAACATTAGTACATAAATGTGAAATAGATGTAGTCTGGAAATATCCATCTATCCTGGTTGACTGATGTGCAAGGTAAAATGTTACTTGTAAAGCATTGATTAAGCATTGGGTAATATAAATGTACACACACAGACACCTTTATGTGAACACAATCAGAGTGCCAATGACATAAAAGCATAGTGCTGCAAACACAAACACAGGTGCTGTACAAAGCAAATGGCACAGACAGCAACATATTGTAGTACTCACCTTAAAGCTCCAGTAGTTCGGCTGTTGCTGAAGGGAGAGAAAGGGGGAGGAAGAGAGAGAGATAAAGTTACATTTCCACATTTTCCAAGCATTACTGCTCCCGAACTGTCTTGAAAGTCACCTACAGTATGTTTCAGAGACAGAGGAGGAAAGAAGAGAGAGCGCTCTGCTTCGCTGCAATAAGAAGATTCAAACCGAGAAGCACAGCTTGAAACAGACACACTCCAGCTGACCTCAGCTGTGACGCAGGTCAAACCAACAGCAGGTACAGTGCAGACAGATACCCTCTGCTTTCCCTCAAAGGGAGAGATTTGCACCACAGGGGCCTAGTGCTTATGAACACTAGGAAACAAACCAGGAAACTGGCATCTTGATTTATTGTCCCAGCGCTATGGAACATGGCTTTCAGTGTCATTAGGTGACTTCGCACTGTTGTGTGCCACAAAGAGACATGGACTGTTAATGTTCGAATACAAACTGACAAGAATTCTGTATTATTTGTTTATACCATGCAAGTGTGCACCCCCATGTTGCACAGGTGGTAAGCTATGCAGCCCCACATCTCTTTTCTGGATGGTACAAGGACACAAACACATTCCAGTCAATTGGTCATTTCTGGCGCAGCAGTATACAAGGAAAAAAGGCGTTCAAAGTAGCTCTGCCATACACATGCCTACAAACAAAAAGATGATCAATTACTTTATCTAAATATTTTATAAGACAGTCTAGACTTCATGATAACTCAAAGCAGTACAGTCAGAAGCACTCTACTGCAAGCACCTTGCAGACAGATTCTGATACAGAAACGCACGCTCCTGCACATCTGTTTTTATTCAGATTATTTTACAGAAAGATCTGTCTGGCCACTGTGGCTCAAACTGGTGTCTCGGTATGATGTATATTTAAATTGTACCATCATATGATTCATTTAGTCAGTTCATTCATCATATTATTACGTGAATTTAAGCACATTTGAACTGAGCATTGGAATGCTGTTACTGCATTATTATTGCATCCCTCTATTGTATTTAGTTTGTGCTGCTGCTTTCTGCATCGTATTTGTCAACATCTATACTGTAGGTTGACCCGAGATAAAGGCATCTCCTGTCCAAATGTGTTTCTGCCCAGAGCTGAGCAGGTGCCATCCCAGACTGACAATGTGCCTGCAACATCATTCATAACACAGCAAGGGCGATGAAGACACAGTGCACCAATAGGTCCCATCCCCCTGAGGTTTGTACAAAAAATAATATGGAACAGGGAAAGATAAATCTAATATCAGGGGCTCATTGTAGGATATTCAAACCCTCAAGTGGGTATTCAAACCCCATAACCTGAGTCTAAAATGACAACTACAGAAAACGTACACGATCAATTCTGTACGCAGACACCTCAGAGCCAGCTCTTAACCACACTACAATGATGGGATAGGATTTACTGGGCCTTTTATTTTCCAAAATCAGATGTCTTATAGAAATTGTCGCCTGCAAGGCAGCTTTATGTTCACTATTTCTTCTGTTCCCACTCCACTGACTCAGCATTATTTCATGAAAATGCCAGGGGGTAGTTCTCAGCACTCCATTACATAGGTGAATGCAGAATCCAGTACTGCACTGTTAAACCGCAATCTTCATGTTTCCCAGAAACTGTTGTAACAAGAACAAAGTTCTCACAGTGCACTCAAAACATGCTGCTGCTCTGCCAAGGGTATCAGAAAAGAGGTTAACAATACGATCTGCTTCAATGGCACTAACATAGAGCCAGTCTTCGAGGCTGTACTGGGTTAGTGTGTCACTGTGGGCACAACAAGTACAGTCAGTGCTCAGAATTAGTCACAGCATTCTACACTGTTGACAGCTGGTTGCCTGTTAAGACGCTGTTATGCATGGTCGGTGTATGCGTGTATTATTTACCATCCTATTGTCTGACCAGCCCATAGCTCATGCAATTTTTTTACGTATTGCATACATTACGTGCTACATACTGTATTAACTGCCCACTATACGAGATCTTTAAAATAGAGCTGTATGTTCATATTGTATGTGCAGACTAATTCAGCAATGATACAGTACCTTACTAGTAATTAAGCTATTCCTTAGAACTGGAGATTGCATATAACAACAGCAAGACTGTCCAGGGTACATGGTTTGGTTTCCTTTCTCATTGCATGTGGTGTTGTTTTGCAAGCACATTACACAATGTTTAATATACAGTAAGATGTGAACAAGTGTCATGTGTCTAAATATGTAACACATACAGGTACGTGTCTGGGTGACTCTGTGACTTTGCCTCTGTGGTTTCCAGTCTGAGCAGGAGGCGGTGTCTCAGTGTAATGTGTCATCAGGGTTTGTTTACTATTAAGGCTTCATTCAGGAGGGAAAGTTGCCTCCAGCTTTCACATGTGCTCGGTTCAGGAAATCAACAGATCAACATCTGTTCCCCACAACACCTGGAAAGTGTTTCTCTTTACTGGCCTCTGCTGTGTGTGTTTATTTTCAGAGCACTTTAGCCCCCCTTTGCACTTCCCAGTGTAAACAAACACTGTCACTTCTCATTCTCCTCCCCGAGTCACACACCTCTCCACATGTCCCTCCCGGTGCCTCAGCTCTGTTTACAAGGACAAACGACCTCTCTCTTCCACAGCATTTGACACGTGAAGAGCCACCCTTCCAGTACCTCGGCTGCAATTCAATGTCAGCGCTGACTGCATCCCTGAAAACCAGGCGGCATCCTTATATCTGCCTCTGCTGGACTTACAGAACAAAGCACAGACTCTGTCCAAAAAGCCACACTGCCCCAGCAGCGCATCAGTTCGCATTCTAAGATCACGAAGCTGCCCTCTCTTCTTTCTGCAACCAGTTACCTCAAGCCCCCTTTCTCAAGCCTGTACGATAACAACACACCATCATCCCCACTGCTCCCCGGCTCCATCCAAACAAACAAACACATGACAAGGGGCAGAAGGGTAAGTGTCCCAGCCTTGCACAGCCACCCCAGGCAGTCTCAGCAGCGAGCCTCCTTCGCCGACTGCTCATTCCTGGTGCTGGACGTCGCCGCTGGAACTGACAGATCGCTGCTGTGCTTGTGCATCCTGACATGCATTACAAGCAGCCCCCCCCAGTCCCCACCTCTTTACACACACACACACAGACACCGAAGAGCCGCATGCTCTGCGATCCCTGCACTGCACAGTACAGCGCACCACACTCGTCCGCTGTGCAGGTCTGCCCAACGACAACAACAGTCGCCACAACACAAAAAGCAATTAGAGGATGCACTTTTCGCTTAAGGTAGCCCGGTGTCAGCTCACCTGTGAAGCACCTGCGCCTGGCCTTCCTGGTAGCGCTTCCACCTTTAGCCCAGGCTGTGAGGCTGTCAGTCAGGTGCAGTGTGTCCTCATATCACACTGACCCCCTTTCACCCTGCTTTGGTCTCTTTTTCTCACAGTGCCAGGTTATTTGTTTAAAACAACAGACTTTTTAATTCCCTCATTGATTAATGAATGGACCACATCAGCGGTAATTAATTAACTCGCTGACAGAGTCGTTTTTTCGCTCCCCAGACCCCTCCCCTGACTGCCCCCTGCTCCGCCGACCCTCCTGCCTCTCCATTCCTTCGTTTCGCGGGTGTTCACAGCAGCTTAATGCTTCTGAATTCCTGCAGTTGCAGCTGTCCCCTCTCTGCCAGCTTCTGTTGTTTCAAGACACGGTGTCTCTTTGCTCCCTCTCCTGCTCTCGTCTATCTTTTTCTCCCCCCCTCCTCTCTCTATCCCTCCCTCTCTCTAGCCTGACCTTTGCAATGTGATATCATTGCTTTCCTTATAAGGGACGGGGTTGTCGTGGTAACCATGGACTCCACCTGTTTCTATCTCTCTCTCCTGCTGCTCTCAGCTTTTGTGTGGTGATGGTGGCTTCTGTACAGTACACACAGAGAGAGACAGAAGGGGAGGGAGAGGGACTACAGTATTGTATGAGGTCACACGGGATGTTTGAAAAGGCAGGAGCACAGCAAATGAGAGAGGAAGGGAATGACATCCTGGTTTATGCATCCCTAGATTCCACAAATCTGTATAAATATTAACCCCCAAACTGGTGAAACCTGTCTGAAACGGATAAGCTCTTTCAGTCCACTTTTTTTACACAGACGTCATCAATGCCGCCATCTCTGCTTCTGCAGAGCACACAGTGGAAACACAGACTGAGGATATAGGGGAGAAAGAGGCAGAATGCAGGAAAATAGAGACAGAGAAAGAAGTGGAGAAAAAATGTTGGGACAGAGCACAGAAAGAAGGAATTCAATAAATATGACCCTGGGAGAGAAGCTGGGTGTTTACCCTGACTGGGTCCCCTCTCACCCTACACAGGGTTTGTTTGTATTTTTCCTCTGTCATTTTCCACCGTGTTTCACAGTAAACCCTCCACATCCCTCATGAGGACGATTTCAAACCATACCTGTCAGCCCCTAGACCCTCTTAACCTACACTAGAAGATACACCACTATCGGCATTAGTAGGCAAACCAGTCTCCAGATCAAACAACTGACTCACAGCAGTTTGGTACAGACTGTTTCCTGTGCCTAGAGTTAGCTCAATATTTGATTGCTGGTTGTTTCATACAGTACAAACTGTATACAGTATGTTTTCGTACGAAAGCCTGTTGATACACTTAAAAGACTGCTCATAGAAATGATATGCATTGCATGAGTCAATCCTAAATGTGCAAGGGAGACTAATGTGCTTACTAAAGTAATATTTCTGATTAGAATTTGTTCACTTTCAATGGATGCCTTGTCTTGTTTTTAACAATCAGTGGGCCAATGTCCATGATTTAAGAAGTGGCATATTGTCCAGTAAGTTTATTTACTATATAGCAGTCAGTTAAGCCTATAGTTTAACTATCTCAAAATTGAAGATCAGTTGATCATTAGTATTTCCTAGTATTTTTTTCTTCTTCTCCCAGGCAGGAGTTGTGCTCCTTTAGTACCACTCAGCTTAATGCCAATAGTTACTGATGTTTTCACACCAGATATCGGGGAATACCAGTATTTTTCAAAGATGTGGTCAGCTAGTTTCTACACAATTGCCGTGTGCTGTGCTTAGAATGACGGCACCCAGCAAACACAAAGTCGACTGAAGACAGTGAGATCAAGTCAGATCCCTCTACCGCAACTCTGGGTAGTATTACAGATACAGACCCCTTCACTGCCCTATACCATCACATCCGTTTCCTGACTGATCAACAGAAGGAATATTTATCTGCCACCTACTCCACTGGTCTAGCTGCTTCGTGGTTTTCTGGACCTGAGCAGAATGGCAGCCCTGATCAACTGGTACAGGTGCTTGCTTGAATGCAGGTTGAGCTCCATGATTCAGGAGTCGTGGGTTCGAGCCTGGGTTATGTCAGTCACTGGCCGCCTGGGACAGGGATTCTCCCAAGTGGCAGAGCCCAGTTGGCCGAGTAGGAATATTCAGACAGGACGTCTTGGCTCTCAGTAATACTGGGGCCCCCGAGACCTCCCAGGCACTTGCAAGGCGTGCAGTGCTGGCTGTGAGGGACGCACCTCTCTGCCTGCGAGGGGCTGTGGTCCTGCAACGTGTGGCTCACAAATGGGCACGTTGGAGGAAGCCGCATGTCCTCGCTCCCCCCTGTGTGAGGCTGGAGGGTTCACAGCCACAAGCAAAGGTCCTCACAGACTTTCCGCCAGTTTGGAACGACCGCGATTAGCGATTCCAAAAAGTGGACCGGTATAACAATCACAAAAATGAATGACGGAGCTGATTTCAGTCCAGTCTGAAAGGACAGCTGGTTCAGTTGGAAACTCTGGAGTGAAACGTACTGAGATCCCTTATTTGCATGAAAGCTTATTTGGATACCCACTGAGAGAAAATGCCCCCCCTTTCAGTATCCAGCACATGAACAATGTATGGTACATTCATGGTATGTGGGGGAAAAAAAAGTGTTCACAAAAAAGAAATACCTGTTACTTTGTCTTTTTATGTGAACAATTATTTTCCTTTTTCCCCATGTATCAGTCAAATGAATGAGCATTTGGAGTTATGGCAAATGTATTTCTGATTTCCAAAAAACAGTTGACATTTATTTAGCACTTTTACAATCAGAATCAATAATCAGAGAACTGCATGACAAAGCTCTAAAGTTAATCAGTCTCCACCTTCCAACAAATGTATATCTGGGTTTTGTTTCATCCAGGCCCATAATTAATTAAAGTATCGGGATTTAGTATTAATGGGCCAAATGCACGAGCTGTGCCAGGTATTTATTTAAACACTGATGACTCAGGGCCGTGGTGGCCAAGCTCAGTCCCAGAGATTCACAGGCCCACAGTGCTGCTAGTCATCTTTAACTCCCCGTTTGTTAGAGACCAGCAAAATGGAAACTCAGATGAGACAAAAACCAGAAGCTGCCCAAGGCTCTTCAGCTCTAAGCAGCCAGGAATCATTCTCAGCACTGGCTTACTGATCTGCCAGGCCTGAGATGGCCAACTCCACGCCTCAGGATTTAGTTTGGTGACTTAATCCTGGAGAGACTACAGTCTGTCAGGGTTTACAGGTTATGTATAGCCCTCCATGAGTGAAAAAGTCCTTAAGGACTGAATGAAAAATAGAAGACACACTGGCTCCCCAGGACCGGGAGTGAATATCAGTGATTTAACTAATCAGTCTTGAGGGATACTGAAGCACTGATGAGAAGCAGAATAACCTGCTTCACTGAGGATCTCATAGGCCACCTCTGATTTACAGTTACTTATCAATCCCACTGGACTGTCCGATGCCCAGGAACGGGGTTAGCCAATACTGATGTATTAAAAGGCCTGTCACCAGCTCCTGCTGCTGGGTGGGGAGTCTTTACCTGCTCTCGGACACGGTCAGGCTGCCCCCTCATGCTTCCGTGGGAGGGGGAGGGAGAGGGGGGATGCTGAGGGGGGTACTTGTTCTTCAGATGGTCCATGAAGGCGTCTCGCTTGCGCTCCATGTCAGCCTTCTGCAGCCCGGTGAGGGCCTCCAGGCTCTGGGCAGCGATAACAGTGTGCCTGCGCTCAGAGGTGTGCACCAGCCCCACGTTGGAGAAGCGCCGCGTGCCGTTCCCCAGCGTGCGGTACTCCCGGGGGTACTCCACGTCGTCCGTCGAGATCATGTGACCTCCGCTGCGCTCGGGATCTGAAGGGAGCGGGGAGAGAGGGGCGAGGGGCACAGACAGGCACGCAGTCGCAGAGAGAGACGCACAGGGAGAGCGGGACAGAAAGAGACAGAGCAGAGCAGGGAGCACTGTTAGATACGCAGCCCCCACAGCAAGGAGCCAGTGCCCCGCCTTCATGAATCCATCGTTTCAGACAGCAAAAGGTGCTTCAGTAACACATCAAAGAAACTAAAAAACTAAAGCTTTCATTTTTTATTAATTTAAATGCAGGGTTTTACACTTTTATTGTTTTATTTTGAAGCACAAATAATTGCTTTTAGTGGACTATAATATTTAAGTTTTCAGTTCATTAGGACAACTTACTTTTTTTTCCAGTGAATACTTTTATTCCAGAGGACGTAAGTAAATAGCTAACATATTTCATTAAATTTCCTTTATGGCCTAAAGTGCAATTAGTATGACTCCAGTCTTTTTTACAACAGAGAATTAAGTGAATTAATTTCAGCCTTGAGACATGTCTAGGCCACTGTCTAGGTGGCCTTTTATCACATTTCCAGACTACTTTGAAAGCAGACTACATGGCCTTGAATTAAAGGGTAGCAGTTACCTTAACACTGGAGACCACTGTGCTTTGTGTATGAGAACATCATGTAATTATAATGGAATCTGCTGTTTCAGTTACCTTGCTTTGGAAAACAGGCCCCAGTGTCCGCTAGAAGAAAAACATGCTCAAAGTTAGTCTTCTTGTGACTGCAAAGAGTGAAGACTTAGAGTGTATTAATGAAGAGCTTAACATAAGGTCATGGTTTGATTGCCTTGGTTATGTTTTTCCTAGAATAAATGTATAAATGTTTTTCATAGAATAAATTTAAGGCAACTTTCAATCCTTTTTTAGATTTTAAATGAAATGGAGGTAAATATTGGGTGAAGCCCAAGCCTGGTCAATAGATTTCTAACACATTTCCAATATATACATGAATATTCTTTGTAATGTATCCAACTAAATTGCAAACTAGATATTGCCAGTGCATGATTTTTTTGTTCTGTTCAAAAACATTATAAATGAACAACTCTAATGAACTTGATGTGGACGATAAACACATTAGTTTCTTTGAGCATCACTGAAGCACATCTCTGAAACAGAGCCCGTGTGCACTAAATGGAGTAAAACTACACGCACTCCAAAAGCCCAACTCGGTGTGCACTGTAGCTCCCATATCTTGGATACATCTAAACTGTTCAGCCTGGAACCAGAAACCAGACAGATTGGTGTTTTTTCAGTTCCAGCTATCAAAAATGGGGCCAGCATAAATTTATTACTGAGAGTAAAGCCTTGCATCTGTGCCTGTAAAAGCAATAAGGGCATCTGCATTTGTTCAGTGCCCATAGCTCTTTGCCAGTGCATCTCCTGGTGAATGCTGGGTGAATGGCATTCTGTCAATATAAGCAGGATAATGAAATACCGACAAGCAACATGGTACTAGTTGTAGGATCCTACAAGCCAGCTGGAGCCCTCCCACCTTCTGCATCTCTTCATGTGGTTTGTGGTCCCTTGTTTCACTAACCATTATCAGCCAGGGCAACTCTGCTGTCCAGAGCCAGTTCAGCAAAGGGGAGTTCCTGACAATTTCACTCACCACAAACACAACTATACAGTGTCTTTGGAAGAATCTTCGTTTATCATCTGCTGGCCAAATTAGGGTAAGATGTGGACTGTCTACATTATATTGTAACTGAACGTACTGCATGATCTGTCATGTAGTCTATACTATAGAAGCTCACATGAAGAAGCTAAGAGCAGGCAGGGACCTGATGTTGCCATAGTTTGCACAGAATACTGAACCTCAGCAGGCAACCGCCTCCACTGACACTGAGCCATGCTATTTGCTGTGGTGACATTCTCTGTCCAACACTCAAGCATGCCACTGTCACACAAGCACCCAACACACTCACATGGCATGCTGTCCATGTAAATGCCTGGGTGAAAATGTGCAATGTGGGGCCAGGCTCAAGGATTCTCCCTGCCACCCAAGGGAACACTCAGAACCCACATCGGGACAGTGACAGCCTGACGCCCACGGCGCCGGCACCACTAGCTCAGCCAACACAGAACAGACTGAAAGCATGTCAAAGTTCCACGCCACAGTCTTCAGTAGAGGGAAAGAGAATTGTGAAAAGCCTTAAGGAGACTATCTGTCACAATGTGTTGTGTGCTGCTGTACCCAAGGCTCAGAGATTCTCAGTTAGAATCCAGAGAAATGAGGAATTTCATAAAATCTGTTTCTCCTGTGCTAAAGACTGTCAAGGCAGCTCTTTGTCAGAATCGATGTGCGTTCATTATGGAATAAGACTGGTCCTTGCATTGAAGAATTTGTTAAGGATTCATAAGCATCTGGTTTTGATTTCAGACTCTTCAAAAAAATAAAAAACAGTTCTAATCTAAAGACCTTCAATACTGAATATCTTAAGAAGTATTAACAAAGCCAGACATTATAGTTAACATGAACTACCTGTATACTAGCTATCTCACTTTGAAAAGAGCTATGAAAAATCTCCACAAATTTTCCCTGCTTCCCTGTGTTTTGAGCCATCAAATGCAGTCCTGCTATGTTAGTATTACAGCAGCTTTGGCAGTTCTCTTGAATTAAAAAAAAAGAAACATGATCTTTGTGCAAATTATGGCCACACTGGGTCCCTGGTGACATGTGATGTGTGAGCAAGAAAAAAAGGCAGCAGACGACCTGCAATAGAGACCCCCCTTCCCACAGACATATTGGGATACAAACAAGTTCACTCATCAGAGCTGGTCACAGAACCCAACTTCTGTCATTGTAAAAAAAACACTTCATTTAAAATTATCCATACACATTTTTACATACATCATATATGGCATTACTCAGGCATTGCTGTAAATTATGTAAGACATTTTTCATGTTCATTTTTGCTATACATTGTTATCATGCACAGAGTGAGACTTTGGGAATCAGCAGTGCAGTGAGGTGGAGACACATGGACATGGTGAGATGGGAATGGGTGTGGCAGACCTACACACCTTCTAATCACGGACAACATTCTGTTCACCAGGGAGCCAATGAAAAGGGACTGGAACTGGGAAACGACACTGCGAAACTACTTGACGTCACCTACCTAATTTCTAGACAAACAGACAGGCAGGCAAGCAGACAGGTAAGGCAGAAAAGCAGGCAGGCAGACAACTCGACTCTGAAGACAATGGAAATCCAACTCATCTAGACAGCAGAGGGGAAGAGTTCACGCCAGATGCATTTATCCCATAGAACAAGCTCAGCTTTGAGACAGTCTACTGATGAGAAATCCAATTTCTTTTTTCTAAAATTCTGATCAGCTGATTCCTTTTATTTGGACCTGCTGTAGGTTTGTTTGGCTTACTGTTTCCACTCCTTCTCTTTTAAATCTTAGGTCTCGAGCAATCTATCAAACTGCTAAGTAAGCGGTTAACAAACTAAGACTTTATACATTAACCCATAGTACAGCTCCAGATGCCTTCATGCAGGGCTCAACGTTTGCCATGAACTGTACTGTAGGAGGTGTTACTGCAGAAACATCCATCCCTTCTGTAAAGCAGAACACATGCATGACAGTAACTCCAAACAATCCATCAGGAAATCACCATTACAGCAGAGGAAAGGCAGTGTAATAAAGGAGTTAGCAACGAATACGGTGACACAACCTTTGTATCTAGCACTCGACAGGACCAGTGAGTCTAACTGCACATCACCACTAGATTCCCAAGACCAAGAATTTTAAGATGAGAGCTGTCCTGTCTCACAAATTCACATCTCTGTTGCAACACAACTCCTGCCTGACAGCAACCACAGCGTAGTCCTGCACTTTGCCAGGATGTGATCTGCAGGGTTTGGTACAACTGCCAGACATCCCTCACAGTGGGCTGGACAGACTTCACTCTCTTACTCACACATTCATAGTGACCTGGGTTTTCCCACAAGTTACACTGTGTGTGTCTGTAAACTGTCCCCTTCAGGCGCGTGCACGCGCCCTGTGATGGACTTGCAAGCCATGCAGGGTGTAGCCCTGCCTCGCAGCCTATGCAACTGGGACAGGTTCTGTAGACCCGTACCAGGACTGCTTTCTGATAATAGATTTACTACAAATTAAATACTTTATTGAATATACAGTCTTATTGTGTTCAGAAAAGTGAAGCAAATATTGTGCTGCAGAAAATGCTTTATGAGCAACAACCTGTTTCTTTAAAGTATTTGATCATTCATTCTGCAGAGTGCTGTTAAGAGGCTACACCCAAGTACTTCTGGATTTGACCTAAGTAGTAAATAAATAGTAACCAGAGCTCCAGTGACTTCTCTATAAACTCAGAAATAAGATGCAGTCTTGGCTGGAGTTTATGACCATGTCAGCAGACTGGAGCTCTATTTAACGTAATAAATTGCTGGGGACGCCAGGTTAAATCCAGCAAGTTCTCAGGACTCTTAGTGAATGCTGACACAACATATAAGTTAATATATTATACCTGTGTCAGTTGCAGTGAGTTTATTGTACATAAGCAAACTTTTTCTCTCCTTTCATTGGCTTCGCTTCCTTCCTTCGAGACAAAACTAAACAATTCTGAAGAGTGTTCACAATTTCAACCTGTTGGTTAATTTTGTTTTATATTGTTCGCTCATCATCATCATCATCTATCGTACTGTTGACACCATTGTGTAATAATCGCTAATATACTGCAGCCCTCAATTCAAGCTTTCAATTCAGACTTCATTTCATGAAATGCATGGCACATGTTGCTCTGAAATACCATATAAAAAAAGCGATAGCCTAAACGTGTCATTCCAAATACGCCGCAAAACTCGTTTGCCATTTGGGAGATGGATCTGTGTTTGGAGCGCACCTTTAAGGAAAGGTCAAAGACAAGTCAAAAACAGAATGTGAAAGTGAAAAAAGTGTAATGCACAGTAATTTAAAAATGAGGCCATTCCAGTAGCTGATCTACAAGTCACACATCCCAAAGGCAACAGTCAGCGATCACTGTGAACACCTTGTGCTCAGAGGGTGTCAAGTTGAACAGACTCCTCTGTGTTTCGTCTTTCTCTTTAGTACCATCAATACAGGTGCACCTTAATATATTATTTAAATGTCCCAACAGTGGCCCTACAGCTGACAACACTGTATAAAACAGGCCCTTTTAGTAGATATCTTCCATTTGCTCCACATCTCCTTCTAAGAGAAAAGTATATATACTGTATATACTGCTTCTGCATTCCCTATGATCACTAGTGTGTAACTGAATAACAACAGAAAGCAACTAGGTACAATAAACCATCATGTCAACATAATACCCACTTCATTGCTACACATTAAATCTGAACAAAGAATCCCAGAGAAGGCATTCATCCCTGAAGTGATCCGATTGCCTGGTTCTCTAATTAATTTGAATGCGAGTAACCCCCCCCCCTCCCCCCCCCCCGCCTGCACTCTCGGGTTCTCCACTTCAGTGAGACCTCTCTGTAACAATTCCAATCCGCTACGATTATCACGGTCTTCTGTTAATGCCTAATGTGGAGGGGAAAAAAAACTAGCATTTCAAGCACAAACCAGGACTTCAGTAACAGAACTTGGCAGTTGCTGTTTTTTTTAAGTA